TCTCGCCGAAATTGTTTTTCGACTGTAACTTTTTTTCCGCTGAATCAAATCAATTCAAATTTTAATATGTTTTAGAGATATTCCTACTTCACTTAAACGGCATATTTGTTTCGGATTGAGAAGAGAGTTAAGAATGAAAAAAAAACATTTCACTAGAAATTCTCGCGTATGAGCAAATTCCAAGTAGGTTTCAAATTACTCTAGCGAGCTTACAATTCAACAAAACAATCTTACGCATGATGAATAACACTGGGCAGGTCCAATACTTTGTTAATGATCTTCTGGGTACGCTGAAATACTAACAAGGCCTAAGTAAGGAATCAGTCATTGAATGCAGTGTCTACAAGGGCAGCTTCCTCCACTTCTCTTGAACTTTGACGAGTTTCTCGCCCATATTTCCGGCTCTTATTTCTACCAAAGGTATCCCTAGTCTCTCCCATAATGTTTCGATGGCGCTCGGGTCATTGGTGTGAATTGTTCCCTTCGTTGAAAGCGCGCCATGCTGTCGAAACCAATCCTTCACAGTGAAGGTGCGATGCTTTTGGTCGCTCTATAGCTAGAAGGCGAACTCAGTCACGTACAGTTTCATACGAGCGAATACGAAACTCCTTCCAGAATCTATCTGATACGTCGGCATTCACCACTTCTCTAATCCTGTGCAGTTGTAAAACTTCTTTTACGGACTACCACACGCGAGCCTCCGCCAAGTTTTACATACGGCAGTTAATTCCTTGGATCGAAACGTTTTCCCTCAGGACCGCACACATTCCTATTTCAGTCGCCGGCAAACATCTTGAATACACTCTCGTTGGTCCGCAGGACGTTGTAGCCCTATGGGGATCCCCACTTTAGGTGTGCGTAAGCCCATTTCGCCCCCGACCATTTCACCGCCGACTAACTTCGCAGTATTCGCAATCATGTGAAGGCAGCCTATACAGTTGGGTTCTAGAAGGAGTTCTTATCCACATGTATGACAGTTGGTCAAAACTGAGCTCGCCTTCTAGCATTAGTGCGAAGAAAAGCATCGCACCTTTACTGTGAAGGAGTGGCTTCGCCAGCATGGCGCGCTTTCAACGAAGGGAACAATTCACACCAATGACCCGAGCGCCATCGAAACATTATGGGAGAGACTAGGGATACCTTTGGTAGAAATAAGAGCCGGAAATATGGGCGAGAAACTCGTCAAAGTTCAAGAGAAGTGGAGGAAGCTGCCCTTGTAGACACTGCATTCAATGACTGATTCCTTACTTAGGCCTTGTTAGTATTTCAGCGTACCCAGAAGATCATTAACAAAGTATTGGACCTGCCCAGTGTTATTCATCATGCGTAAGATTGTTTTGTTGAATTGTAAGCTCGCTAGAGTAATTTGAAACCTACTTGGAATTTGCTCATACGCGAGAATTTCTAGTGAAATGATTTTTTCATTCTTAACTCTCTCTCAATCCGAAACAAATATGCCGTTTAAGTGAAGTAGGAATATCTCTAAAACATATTAAAATTTGAATTGATTTGATTCAGCGGAAAAAAAGTTACAGTCGAAAAACAATTTCGGCGAAGACTTTTGACCGCTACTGTATGTACGTCTGTGCATAACAAAAGTTATTGACTATTTTGACGCTTCAAGCTAGACGAAGGGATTACGAGTCATAACGCATAGGGGTTTCTCGAGTTTATAGTCTTCAGGACATGACATCTAAAAATACTTCACCAAATGAAGCTAGGTTTTCTATAGCAAATACATGAAGCAAATACTATACGAATCTAAAAATTCCTGATTTATTGACGAAAGCGCATCAAAACCTGGAATAATTCTATCGCGTCTTTCCTGCGTGCCACCGTGCATGTTTTCTTCTCCCTCTGTTAGGGCCGTTATGAATAGATGACAAGATTCCATTCCCAATCGTTTAATTTTGCGTGCTGATAATGAGACTACTTTTTGAAGTTTGTTATTAGTCTAGTATCGCGCCTCTTTTTTAAGATTATATCGCTTAACGTTTAGCGATAATTTGGTCATACTTCTATAAATTTTGGTCTGTTCTGCCTGTTTTTGCATTAACCACCTCAATAGCTTCGATCTTTATAATTTGTTACATTTACGTCCGTAGCTTGATAATGTTATACTAACACAGGGGGTGCTGATCACAATGGATGCGCCCCGGAGCGGCAAGGATACGGAGACGAGGAGACTAACATCGCAGCATGCGCCTCCCACATACGAACGGACTTTTTTATATAATTTTGGGTGGGTGTCAGAGGTCAGAAGCGCACGTGTTAGATGTAGAGGTTTTAGATGCTTTGTGCTTGTTGTGTGTGTGTCATCTCACCCACTTCTTTCGGCTTTTATAGATAGGCTGCATGATTACTTCCAATGCACCATATCCACAAACTGTTCACAGAACAACAAACAGTTATTAAGAGTTATTCAAAAGCAATGATCTAATTGTGACCTACCACAAGGATTATTGTGAATATTAGATATCCACTCCTCAATTGAGGACACGAACGAAAAGCTTTGACACACAGTTTCATCGAAATCACACCTCACAGTTTTCGGCGAAATCTTATAATTAATAGTACAATGAAGAAACGCGTTATATTATAATTACGAAGATGGTAGAAACGTAAAAGATCTCTCATCGGGATCTGGTACAAGTTGGTACTGGAGCATCTAAAATTCAGCAGAACAGCAGAAATGGTTAAGATCCTGTGGCCTAATGCAGGCTTTCTCGAAGGCAAAGCCTTGGCTTTTTGTAAGCAGTCCACCTATCATGCCTGATTCTACTTTTGAGTACGATTTTCAACCCCTAGGCTATCGGGAGTTACGCTTTTAAGGATCGTCCTTACTTTAGTGAGTTACCTTGAGTACCTCAGTTGGCGCGACAAATCCAACATAGTACCAGATCCCCATTTTTCTTCAAATTTGTAGCAACGCTAGCTTCAGATCGATTGAAATGTCTGGTTGAGAGCAATCGGCTCAGATTTGGCTTCCCCCAAACATGAAGCTACTGCTCTCAAGCAGACATTTTATGTCAATGTGCGTTATATTCAATTGACTTGTTGTATATATTTGCATATGTAAATTGATTTTGCCGAACATTGTGAGGTTTCGATACTACACAAGAACAGAGTGAGTGCGATCGTACACTTGTGTTGTGAAAGTGTTGTGATTATTCACTATTCTCATTAAAAAATAAGTGTGCTGTTGTGTTTCTGTAGCATGAAGAGCTACTGACAACTCCCGAAGAAGATGGTCATCAATATCCAGCAATGCAGCACGACCACGCCCCACTCAAGCTTCAGTTACGGTATGCAGGCGCCACTTTGATATTTGCGGATCGGTTGCGATTTGTGGTAAAACCTTTTATTATTCAAGTGCAGTTAAGAATCAGAGTGTCTTACAACGCTAGCAACTTTACAGTTTTGACTGAGTGAGTCCTACTCATACTCTGAGATGTTCTTATATCGATTTGAGAGGCGTAGACAAAAAGGTGCTGTAGTGAAGTAGACATGATGAATTTCTTGTAGTTCTCATCTGTGGTGTTCGTCCGAAAAATTTTGATGTTTGTATTGTTTGTAGTGTAGTTGTGGGAATGTTGGATCATTGAAATTGCTTCGCGTAGTTCACCTTGCTCATCCGATGCACGTTCGCAGCAAATGTTCAATTTAAGCTCACTAATTTTTATTGGGACTGATTTTGTTTTAGCTTTGTGGCCGGCGTAATTCGTCGTGAACGCCTACCAGCGTTCGAGCGTCTTCTTTGGCGTGCTTGCCGTGGCAATGTTTTCTTGCGTACATCTGAGATTGATGATGTGCTTAATGATACAGTGACGGTGAGCTTCCACTCAACATCCCTCGAGAATTTATTGATTCTTACATTACTTATAAGAATTGAGCAGATTAAGAACACCTTTGCGTTCATAATCTTTGGTTTCCAGGGCGAGCCGGTTAATAAAACAGTTTTTATCATCTTTTTCCAAGGAGACCAGCTGAAGACAAAAGTCAAGAAGATTTGTGAAGGGTGTGTCCTTTCTCAGTTCTTTCGTTTTCTTCGTGTAAATTGAAGGAAGTTTTCAATTTTTTTTTCATTCCAGTTTCCGCGCAACGTTATACCCATGCCCCGATACTCCCCAGGAGCGACGTGAAATGTCGATCGGAGTGATGACTAGAATCGAAGACTTGAAAACTGTTCTGGGACAAACGCAGGATCATCGTCATAGAGTGCTGGTAAGTATCCGTATTTAGTGGTCGGGAGGGCACTAGTAGTTGAGAAGCAATACTAGCTGTTTTTCAGGTAGCAGCCTCGAAGAACGTTCGCAATGTGGTTGACGAAAGTGCGGAAAGATCAAGTCGATATACCATACCCTTAACTTGTTCAATATAGATGTGACTCACGTGAGTGAATACAGCACTGTTTTTCCCATTTCTTCTTATTGATCTCTTATGAAAACTACTTTCGTTATAATTTCGTCTGTTCCAAGTGTTCACTTTTACATGACCTATTTTACAGAAATGCTTGATAGCTGAGTGTTGGTGCCCTGTTAGTGAGTTAGAGCGCATCAAAATGGCTCTCAAAAGAGGAACGGTTAGTGGTTTGTCAACAGGGAAAGGGGCACTTATGCATGGTTTATCCTCGTTTTAGGAAGAAAGTGGCAGTCAAGTGCCATCCATTTTGAATCGAATGGATACTACTGAAGCGCCACCAACTTATCACAAAACAAACAAATTTACAAGAGGTTTTCAAAACATAGTGGACTCGTACGGAATTGCAACATATAGGGAAATCAACCCCGGTATGCTTTTATCAAAGTGATCATGGATCGCTCATTGTTTTTGTTGATTTATAGCCTTCGAGGTTGTCGCTCACCTATTATTATCAGCTTAGTTATGTTTTCGTGGTGTCAAGTAACTCACTTTTTTTTAGGCTTCCCTACACAAATGATCCTCGTTTCCCATTTTCTTTTTGGGCAATAATGTTTGGAGATCTGGCATGGACCTCTGCTCCCTGCTAGCCCTTTCTTTATTCTCAACCAAGAGAAGCAACTTGAAGCTGCTGCGCATAAGGATGAGGTTTAATAGAATATGCTTCATGTTCATTCTCTGCAATGAAATTTTTACATTGTTTTTGACAGATCTTTCAAACCTTTTTTGGCGGTCGATATGTCATATTTTTGATGGGCGCATTCTCAATATATACCGGATTCCTTTACAACGATGTGTTCGCAAAAAGTGTGAACGTTTTTGGATCAGGATGGACGAATTGCTACGACCTGAATGAGATTGATAGGCTCAAGTATGGCGAAGAGAAAACTCTCATGCTCATTCCGGAATACGCTTATGATGTACGTTCTTGACCTTAATATCACGATAATTCAGACGTCACAAAATCCAGAAGCTAGTGGATTGAGTGCCGTTTACAAACTTGTTTCCAGAGCGCCGGCGGCCCATATCCCATTGGAGTTGATCCGATATGGAATTTAGCAGAGTCCAACAAATTGAATTTTCTGAATTCAATGAAAATGATTCTGTCTCGTTGGTAATTGCACAACATGACTTTCGCGTGCTGGCTAAGTAGCCAAAACCTACAAGTCAGTTCTTTTCGGATGAATGAGGAAAAAATCGCACGGCTGGTCTCCGGAACCTCTGTGTGATTGTCTCAAAAGATGTTCTAGTTTTGAAGTCCGCTTTTCGTAATTCCGCCGCTCATGAAAGAGTTTTCTGCGCTGTAGCAGTGTTAGCTTCTTCTCAATGGGTCCTCCCTTCAAATTATTTGTGAAGACACCACTGCTACTGGAAGAACTGGCTGAAAGGACAAGTCCCAGCATTCTCTTCATTGTGGTCAGCTGAGAATATTTCAGATATTTCAAATCAGATTTGGACATTAAGTTCATGTTCATACCGCAGATGATATTTTTGGCCAGCATCTTCATTTATCTTTGTCTGGAGCAAATTCATTGTCAAATGGCTTTTCTTCACCGCAGGGGTTGGTTTCCCTTTGCTGAAGTATTTACGGTATTAGTATTCAAACCTAAACGGACCCCCGAACTGTAACTGCCAACTCTCGTTTTAACTCTGTTTTAGCTTAATCTGACTAAATTCCGTGTCATAGTGTGAGAAGTGAGACATAACATAAATCTTTTCAGCCACAAGCTTCCATTTTTGGTTATAAATATCCTGGTTCGAATTGTGCACCATCACTACTGATCGGACTTATCAACATGTTCATGTTCAAAACATTGCCTTCTGGCTTTGTGGATGAAGAGGGACGTCAGAAGTTCCAGTGCCACCTCAACTTCTGGTACCCCGGACAGGTACAGTTCATGCTCCTTTATGTTAGAAAATGTGTTGGAAAGCTTCAATAGTTCAAATTACAGGGCAGGAACCCAGTCTAAGGACTATGAAGTTATCTCGCGTCTGTTTCGGGGGGAGTGTTTAGTGGTAGCATCGAAGTAAAGCGCCAAGCTGCACCGGCTTCGCCTTAGCTGTCTAAACCCTTTCAAATGAGATTTGGTTGAAGTGCTTTTAGAGCAACTTCAGGCGAATTACTGGGGAATGCAGGGCTGCGAACTTGTTGCTGAAACCGCGGGTGAAAACTTGATTGAGATCTTTGATAGTAACCGATCTCAAGAGTGAAGTGAAATTATTAGAACTTTCAATGAGACTCGAAATTTCGGTGACTCTGTTACTTCGATCTTTGTTTTTCATATATAATTTCGCAATACTAGGGATTTTTCCAAACAATTTTCGTACTGGTGGCGATCGTCTGCGTACCGATCATGCTGTTCGCGAAGCCGTACATGCTATGGAAAGGCAGATAAAGAACGTCGCGAGTCTGGTCACAGACAGCTGGTTGGTGTGCATGAGTAGTGCCCATCGCGTTCGGTGAACTTTACAAATGGCAGCCCAATCAAGAAAAATCTTTCCATCTTACTGATTTGCGGAAACTTGTGTTCATGCTTTGCTCCGTTAGTGAATCACTGCATGAATGCCCGGTCTCGATTTGGGCAGCCAAACTTTTCAGGGTATCGTCGAGCGGGTGCTGTTGGTGTTAGCGGTGGTGCAAGTGCCTCTGATGCTTTTCGTCAAGCCTTTGATTCTGCGCTACCGTAGTCGAGTGAATGATGCCCACTATTTCACACTGCGCGATGAGGTCTGTGCAATGATAAAGATTATGAATTAGAAAATCAACTCTTATAAGTTCTGATTTCATGGAGGGAAGCTAAATAGGAAGCGTTCTGTCGTTCTTAATAACTGGGTTTCCATCGATTTTGTGGGTTCGGAATGTGAGTTAAGCTTAGAGAGAAGTCGATTTTGTTCATTATCACTTTTGATTGAAATTGGTTAATGTAAAGCTTTGCTGTTCAACTGGAACTTCCACGAAACTGGTTAGAGCCCAGAAAGAGTAAGGAGGGGTTAAGTCACGTCTTGAACGAGTACTAGTAGTACTGACACCGTCCAATTTAGTTTCCCTCCATTTCAAGATCTTCATGGTTTTGATTTCTTTCATTGTTCTGCTTTCACTGGCATATGTTCATATTGCTCCCAGTGTTCTATGTCGAAGAAATCACCTTTGTGCGATTTTCTCTATCAGTTTATTTCTCTTCTCCTTAAAAAAGTAAAACGGGAATTTACCAACACCACCGCTTCTCCATCAGTCTGTCCTTCTTAACGATACGTTTTGAAAAGGTAAATTTTCGCCGTCGTGATTCGTAGGTGTTTGGTTGCCATCGGTGTGTGTCTGTTGCCTTTTATAATTGCTGTTGTGAAAGTAGGAAATCCTGCCTTGGTGTGGTCGTTATGGTTTGACTTCTGTGTTCGCTAGCTATTTCTCTACTTTCAATAGTGTTGCTTGCATGTGAACCTTCTGTAGTGGTGGTGTTGGTGCTTTGTTGTCAATATTTGTGAAGTGTAAGTAGATGTCGATTATTTAGAGTGTGCGAGCGGACATGAATGGAGACGATGCAGAGGTCGTTCATTCGGAACCGAAAACTACTTCTGCCGTAGGTAGTGGCGGAGGTGATCACGGACATGGGGGATCTGGAACTGTGAGTCATTTTCGAAGCCTAAATGGAAAAGTTTCGAAGAAGGGGGACATAGGGTTCATTCTTCTGCGCAACAGTGAATGAACCTAGCTTAGTTCATTGTCATTTTTGTCTTGTTGTGCAATGTTTTTCAAAAGTTCTTGCTCTGCTATACTCCATCTCCAGTTCGGGGAGACCGTTGCCTTCTCTTCACAGCAGTGATAAGGAATAGCTCTGGTCCGGAAAACTTTTGGTTGGAAAACCGTCTTCATGTTACGTAAAATTATGGGGTGTTTGATGAGAGATATCATTCGACATTTCACCTTGTGTCATGGCCGACCTTTTTCATTTACTCTGCTAGCAGGAGTTTTGTGTTATCTTTGAAAGTCTGAGTGAATATTTGAGTCGTCATATTGTACGGCCTATGATGTACTTACGCCGTTAATCCGTTGCAGTTTGAATTTGGCGAGGTGATGGTATACCAGGCAATTCACACCATTGAGTTTGTTCTTGGATGTGTTTCGCACACTGCGTCATATCTTCGACTTTGGGCTCTTTCGCTAGCTCATGCTCGTAAGTCAATTTTACTATGATGATCAACTTTGAGGTCCTAATGATGAGTTTCGGTCAATAATGTCAGTCTGTTGATTACGGAAACGGCAGTACATTTTTTGTGGTCACAAAATTGGACTGCCTTTTTTTGATTCTTTGTCTAGCCTTAAAGCATTCTCCAGACGTCGATGCAGGGTTAAGCTGTTATATGCAGAAACCGATTCATTGCTTATTTTAGAGCTGTCGGATGTCTTGTGGACAATGGTGTTCCGTCATTCGTTCCGTCTTGACGGCTACTATGGAGCAGTGGCCACATACGTTTTGTTCTTTGTTTTCGGCTCCTTATCGATTTTCATTCTCGTGCTCATGGAAGGTTTATCAGCATTTCTACACGCGCTTCGTCTTCACTGGTCAGTTTCCATTCCAACTGATGCTATACACTTAAATTATTTAGGGCAGTTCATGGTGGGCAATTACTTTTTGCAGGTCGCGTTGCCAGCCAAATTCTATGGAGGCTTGGGTCACCTTTCACGCTTTCCCGTTTAGAAAATCCTTGAAGGAAGAAAGAGAAGCGCAGAATGCATTAATCAGGTGGTGTTTCCATAGTTGGTAAATCAGCTGGACACACTTATCTTGTGCTAACTCTCAAAACAATTAGTATTAACTTTCTTTCGGCGCTTTTGTCGTTTACGTGTTGTACTTCTTGCGTTATGTGCTTTCCTATCATTATTTGTCAAAGTTTTTTGTCCCTAGATTTTTCTTTGGTGGCTGCAGTATGCTACCTATTTATTTATTGAGTTATTAGTTAATTGTACCTATCTGTCAAGAAGAGAGGTCCGTGGGGAAAAGCAATTTATATCATTTCTCGGATTGTAGTCAATTCCGCGAATTGATGACAGAGATCGTTGCTGATTCGTGACGTCTATGTGGTAGGTGATCAGCAATGGCATGATTAGACCACGTCTTGCTGTGTCTGCTGGACATTCATTAGTCATCAGAAGTTCCAAATTTTCGGCTGATAGGGGTGTGGTGTACGCATTTCTGGTCTCGGTGTCGCCTATTATTTGCATAGTATTCTCGTAATCATTTTAATTTCAAATTCTATTGGCTATTTAGCAAGCAACAATGAGCTTTAGTCGATTTAATTTCAATTTAGTGTTACTATTGTGCATTTATGGTGATTGTGTGGAGTAAATAAACTTTCGTAGTGATTTTGTCTACTGTTTGAGTTGGACGAGTTTGAGCTATGATACTGAGGATGTTCTTCATTTCCATTGATGGTAGTGTGACTACAGTCCTCGTTTTATAGGAAATATGACACGGTATCTGTCTCCATTCGATTGCGTACAGAAATTGGGTTAGTGTTTGTGTCGTTAGTTCATTGGTGTCTATTGAGCTCTTT